CATCTATGTAATGCTTATAGTGTAAAAGAAGTTCCCGTAATTTTGAATAATGGTAATAAATTGGCGCGTAAATAATACCTAATAACCGGGATGCATTACGATCACCTGCATGAGTCATGAAATCCATTTTTTTAACATATTACTGTCTTGACCTTTGATGGCCCTGCCTTTTAGGTACATGTTTGACATGTTCGAAAAGGAAGCAGAGGAGCTTAGGGGTATTCAAAAGACGGACATTATCAACTGGTACAACACTTACTTAAAGCAACCATCTCCAAAGTGCCGGAGGCTTGCAATCCGGTTGTGGGGTTGCAACACAGAATGGAAGAATGCGGATGCACAAACATCATCTGCAAAGGTTATTAAAGATGTTGAAGGTTTCAAGAAGCTGTCTGAGTTCTATCCAAGCCTTTGTTGAAACGATAGTTATTGCTCCAAGTCCTTATTTCAAAATCGGTAAGTTTAGGAAGATTATTTGATCTGATACACGATTAATTCGGAAAATAACGAATAAAGTCGGAGAAATTTATTATTGATAGCAATGATTGAAGAATCACTCCGTACCTTCCGTTTTTCACTAGAGAAACCATGGATAATAGGTTTTTTACCTCATGTTTATTGTCACCTGAATTTTGGATATATTCAAATGTTTTACTGTGGTATATTCTTGAGTTTTCGTTGCTAGGAGTAATTTCGCGATATCAACCGGGTTGAAATTGCTCGATAAGTGTGACTTTTTTATGTGGTGTCTCTATTTTTCATTTTGTTCTCCATCTTTGGGGGGTCCAATGAACACTGCTGGACAAGTGCTTTCTGCAGTTGAATGTTATTTTTTAAGTAATTGTTGTAAGCATCGTATAACTGACATGTAAATGCTACCTTTTGATAACAGTTTATGCTTTGCATCTGCCTTTATATGTGCTTTTTCTTGATAACACCGCCTCTCATTATCTTCGCACATTCTTCAATTTCCCGGTCGTGCACGCGAATACTTTCCTCGACACAATGAGAAAACAAAACTGGGTGAAATATGTTAAAACATATTTATAATTATATATTTATTAAAATAAAAAGTTACTTTTCAACTTATAAGTAAAAAAAGTCACAAATCCTTGCCTATTTGATAGTGTATAGAAAAATAGTTAGTGCAGAGTCTTGTGTATTGTGAATTGGTTGCTCTCGAGTGGAATAGAATTAGGTTTCTAATTCTAAATAATTTAACATTGCTAAAAAAGTGAAAATTGATGGGGTAAATTAAAAAAGATTTGATAGAGCCGACAAAATTGCATATTTCTCAATTAACGAATCATATCGACTTGAAAAATAAAAAGAATCGTAGTACACACGTGATTCCACGTCTAGCTTTGTATTTTTCTTGTTAACAAAGTAATATATTTCATGTTCATTGCTTAAATGAACCAAGATAGATTTTGTCAAGTTGTGGTACCATTATTTGATTAAAAAAAGTGGCATATAAACCACTTTCGTTTTGGACAGGCGCCGTAGAAATCGACATGTTTTTCCTAATTTAAAACTTGCTAATATGTCATAATTAATATGTTTTGACAAGTGTCTGTCTATAGATTATTAAAAAAAAAAAATACTCTATACGTCGTTTTCAAAGAAAAAGGGTTAACGTACACAAAATGAGTTAACGTTTAACCATTGAAAAGAAATAAAAAATTTCTTTGAAATCAACATCATTACAACAAAGAGAATCCAAATAAATATTGTAAGGGCTCTTCTTGTTCTTTCTCTTCTTGCAAAATTTTAATGTAAGCTTCATTTTTAACAAATATAAGTCGGCTGTAGGTAAACTATTCTTCACCATGTACAACAAGCCATGTTACCCTTTCTTGTTTTTATTTAAAATTATTCAGTTGTTATATCATAAATACTATGTATCCGTGAGCTTTTCAAAATTCACTTAAAATATATTTCACTACTTAGATCATTATTCTCTTAATATATGATCGGATAATATTGTATCGATGTATTGACGTGTATTTGAATCTCCATCTTATGTGTGAAAACATGAGTTTTAATTCAACTCTAATTCATGATAAGTATATGACAAATTTTAGTCATGGCTAGGATTAGTGGAATTTATGTTAGTGTGATCCAACAGCAAACAAAAACCAAACATACCAAATATCTGTCTGGAGTTCCCATGCACAAGTCTCCAAAAGGGCCAAAACAGCTTATTTTAAAATATGTATTTATTATAAATCAACTTAATATTCCTACTTCAAGCCTAGCAGTTACATGACATAGGATTGTATTATAAACCCTTTTTTTTTTTTTTTTTTTTAAAAAGAAAAGAAAAAGTGAATTTTGCTTTCGGTGGAAAAGATTATATTATCTGCAAAACAAAACAATGCTGCTGATACTATGCAAAGTTGGCGTCCCAAAGGCAATTTATTTATGGCCCGTTTGGTACACGTTAATGTAAAAATAATAATGAAAAATATAGTCGTTACGGGTTCTACACAAGAGATAGAAAGTTAAATATGAACCCTGTTTGGGAGGGATTTTGAGAATTGATTTTTTGACCGTTAGGTGCAAAGTGGGGTCCACCTGTGAGATAAGAAGTCAAATATAACGGTTAAAATAATGAAATAAAGGTAAGAAAATCAATTTTTTAGGAGAAAAAATCACTCCCAAATAGGCCTATGGTAATTTTATGTGGTGGATAACCATCATATTTTTTATTTTAATGAGAAATAAACAAGGGCATAATTTTGTATTTAGAAGAAAATAAATAAAACAATTTTTCACATACGTCGATGGTGTGTGTTGATCATTTGTGTAATTTAGTTGCTTCTCTTATTCTTTATATATGTGAGCTTGCAAAATAGATAGAAGTACAAGAATGAGCTTGATTGCTTCTTAGTATAGTCGATGCAGTAGCAACTTTCTTACTTGCAAATCGTATGGTACGTAAAATTTTCAATAAATATGTAATAATGACATATTTGAAATTAACCACTTTATCTAAAAATTTAAATATCAAAAGAGAAATAAAAATATAAAGTTATATATTTTTAATTTTTACAATAATATTTCAATACATATATAGATTTATATCTAAGAGTCGACATTTATTTATTTTTCCTTTTCCATCTCTTTTGGAACTATTTAAATAAAAACCTCAAATTAAAATAGCACGCATGCTTGTCTCCCAGCAATTGCCAGTTTATGAGACAGGTTATATCATCAACTAATCAAAATAATAATAATAATCTTTCGACTTCAATTAATAAATAGATAAATATTTTAATCAATAGAGTAGTTTTTCACCACGTGTCGAGTAGCCTACTAATCTTCTGCATAAGATAATTCTTCAATTTCAGCTAATCACCGCCATTAACCTGACGAGATGCTCTCTTATCCTTAGTTGATTGTTAATTACAAATTAATCCTTGATGATGACGTGGGATAGAGAGAGATAAAAGAGATGAAAAAGGAAATTCAAGTATTTTAACCTTTATCTCGTTTTTATGTCATCATTATGTACAAATAGAATTACTCTAATGATTTTATACTAAGGGTGCATTTGATTGTCAATATTTTTCATGGAAAATATTTTTTTCACCAAAATTTCTACTTACGTGTTGTTTGATTGTCATTTTTTTCCATCAAAAATATTTTCCTACTTTTGGTCACCTGACTATATTTTTCTCAAAATTAAGAAAATTATTTTCCAAGGATTTTATTTTTCGGAGAATTCACTCTCTTTCTCTATCTTATCCATCCACTCTTTCATCTACCCACAATAAAAATGAATAAGTGTAATATTTCCTAGGTTGAAAATTAAATAAATCAAACACATATAATTAACAATTTTCATGCAAATAAATTCTAAGCAATTGAATTACCTAAAAATTATTATTTTTTCATAAAAATTTCATACTTGCAATTAAATGGTTTTACTCGTGCCATACAAGAAACAACAAGAATAATGAATTACCCTTGTTTTATGAAAGTAGGACTAAAAAGTCTCATATCAACTAGATAGCAATTCTTATATGTGCGCCCAAGATCTGAATGAAGGCATGGACCCTAATTAATCACGATGGCAAAATATTATTTGGTTGGCTCACGACACACTTGTATCAATGTAAAGCAATGGACCAATGGTCGTAACGTAGTGTTAGAGTTGGGGTTTGTTGAAGCCGAGAGATGAGTTGGTTTTGGATCTTTTGATTTTTTGTGTTTTTTGGTTTTGTTTAGACTTGGATTTTTTTTTTTTTTTTTTTTTTTTTTTTTTTTTTTTTTTTAAGAATGGGAGACAAATTACTGCTTGAACGAGGGTTAGGATAAGGGACACTTTGTTCGAGGATGGGTTATTGGAACGAGCGAACAAAAAGTCACACATCAGCTACATATAGGGATGTTTAGATTTTATAAGAAAATTGAAACATTGCTTCTATTGTCAGTGCTGGCCCCGATTATATGCGAGGTAAGCAATCGTCTAAACCTCACTTTGGTCAGAGCCCCAAATTTATTTTTTATTTTCTATGTATTTTTACATATATATATATTTGAAATTGGTCTAAAGCTCCCAAAAATCTTAGGACCGACCTTGCTAATTGTTAATCTTTTAAAATAGAACATTAAGGGTGTGTTTGATTACATTAATTTTTCATGAAAAATATCAGTTTTTCATCCAAATTCTTACTTAGAGTGTTTGATTGCTATTTTTTTTCATGGAAAACATTTTCCAACTTTTGAAAATATGCCTAATTTTCCTTGTTTTTAAGGAAAATATTTTCCTTGAGTAGAGGTGATTTTTATTTTCCACAAAAGATGGAAAATATTTTCTTTTTTAGGTAATATTTTCCATGCTAATCAAACTCTCAAATTCATATGTGCAAGTTCAACTTTTAGGCTTTCAATTAGAGCATACCGAGATCCCTGAGTTCGAGCCTCGTCCTTATCCATTTACGGAGAATTGAACTCACGTCAAACATTGAAGTGAGTTGCCCATGAGACGACGAGTTAGATGTATAAATTTAAATAAATTAATATATCCAAAAATATTTTTCATAAAGAAGATATAAAGCTACAATAAAGTGGAGGTGAATTGCATGTGGAAAAAGTGGACCCACAAAGTTGAGCTTCTGGCAATTAGCAGCCCAACCAGAACCACTGCATGTGCACTTGTCTTTTTTATCATTTATTACACAATTTTGCTTACTCTTTGGCCGGCTATCAACCCCATCTCGTGTCTCCCCTCTCCAATTTTCTCCTTCAAATTTCTTCAACTCCCCATTATATATACACCACTCCATTTGCTTCATTCTTCACTCCACCCTTAACTTCAACTGAAAAGTCACAACGCTCTATTGCCCATATATACACACAATGGATGTAACCTTAATGGCTTTTGTAACACTTGCTTTCTTCAATCTACAGTTTCATAGTATTAAAGGTGATTATGGTGGTTGGCAAAGTGCTCATGCCACTTTCTATGGTGGCGGTGATGCTTCTGGAACCATGGGTACGTAAACTTTAGTATTGTCTAGTCAAGCATACTCATTCTGTTATCTAAGTAAATAATGTGGTTGTTGGGTTTTTGTAGGAGGAGCATGTGGATATGGAAATTTGTATAGTCAAGGCTATGGAACAAATACTGCAGCACTAAGCACAGCCTTGTTCAACAATGGATTGAGTTGCGGCTCGTGTTATGAAATGCGGTGCAATGATGACCCAAAATGGTGCCTCTCGGGGACTATCACTGTCACCGCCACCAACTTTTGCCCTCCAAACTATGCCCTGCCGAATAACAATGGTGGTTGGTGCAATCCTCCCCTTCAACATTTTGACTTGGCTCAGCCTGCTTTCCTTCAAATTGCTCAGTATCGCGCTGGAATTGTACCTGTCGTCTTCAGAAGGTCTTTTTTCACTTTTTATAGTACTATCTACTGCATTATACAATCGAGTTGTTCTTGTGATACCAATAAACTGAGAATCTAACTATTTTATGGGAATTTATTTGTAGGGTCCCATGTGTGAAGAAAGGGGGAATTAGGTTCACCATTAATGGGCATTCATACTTCAACTTGGTTTTGATCACCAACGTTGCGGGTGTAGGAGATGTCCATGCAGTGTCAATTAAAGGGTCAAGAACAGGGTGGCAAACTATGTCCAGAAATTGGGGCCAAAACTGGCAAAGCAATTCATACCTTAATGGACAAAGCATTTCATTTAAAGTCACCACCAGTGATGGTAGAACTGTCATGAGTTTCAACGTGGCACCTTCTAATTGGCAGTTTGGCCAGACTTTTCAAGGGGGTCAATTCTAAATTTTCTCACCATATATTATTCATACTTTGTAATACATTAGCCAGTTTCGTAATGTCAATTGTATAGTATTGAACAGTATTATAATTTTATAGACTATATTGTTCAATTCTATTACATATTACATATCGAACATGTCTTAAATTTAGTACCATGTATACCAAGAGAGTGTAGTGAGGTACAAGAAGCGGCCATGAAACTGAGGTTGCTATTTAGCAGCCCGTTTGGCTTTATTTGCTTATATTCCTATTATCTTGTGATTTTGAAAATTGTACTCTTTATCTTTTTTCTTCCATGATATTAGTTCAAGTTTAATCGCTTGCCAACTTTTAGAATACAAATTTTCAACAAGTCATTGCGAAATTATCGAGGAGGATTGTCGAATGGATTAGATAGGAGAATTCCATCTTGAAAATGGACAAATATTTACAATATAATTCCGACTTGTCACAAGCTCCGTAAGAAATTCAATTTAATATGGGTTTGTACCTATAACACTTGTAAAGATTGTGACAAATTTATGGTTGCAATGTTCGACTATGCTCATATGGAGAACATCTATTTGTCGATCCAATCTCAAGAGTTGTGCGTTTGATTCAGATTTGAGTTCCAGCTTTTAGGTTAACCTTTAATTGATCTAGATAAATTTAGTAAAATTATTTCCATCTAAATATATAATAATATTTGATCTAAGTATGTATGTCCAAAAATTGTTAATTAAAAATTTACTTTAAATTTAAACAAACCCAGCCTTAATGACGTATACAAATAGGAAAAATGTATTTATACAACACGACTTTAGCATTGTATTGAAAGAATGTTTATAATTTAAAACGCGAATATGATTTTAGAAAATTGTTTTCTTCATATGAAAGTAAAGTGCAAAAGTTTTTTAACTGTGTGCGGATCGTTAAAATATAATAATTTTGAAAATCGACGATTTTTTTAATGTTATTATATAACAACACTTTCGTGCTATTCCGAAAAAAATTTCATAACTCGTAGGACAAGTGTAATTTTGGAAAATTGTTTCTTCTGTATATAAAAGTAAAAATTAATAGAGTTTTTATAGTTCATTTAAAATATAACAAATTTCATAAAATCAGTTATTTATGAAATATTTTTCAACTTCCCAACGTTCTTTCGGAAAAGGATCGATCAGATTTCAGATATTTTTAGAACATTCCTTCCATCAATTTCAGTGATCTGAACAGCTGCTCCTCAGGTCCTTTCTGTCATCTCTCTCTTTACATTTTCGCTCAATCGGTCACAGTGTACGAACAAGCTCTTGTTCCCTGGTCTGCTAGGCCACATTCCGCGATTTACCACCCTCACGATACTTCAGGAGCAGGACGATGGGGCCCTCAAAATTGAGATTCAACATTTTTTTTTGATAAATGGCTATCAAAAAGGACCAGATCCAGCCATCCAGGGCTCAATACTGCTGAATAGAGTTCATTTTTATTTATTTTTTAATTTTCGTTTATTAGTGTTTTTGGTAATGTTATGTGAACTTGTACTTTTTGTTTGAAATGTTGTTCATTTACTGCAGCTGAACTGGATTTGTATCTCGAACGTCAGTAACTTAAATATATTATTGATATGAGGTGAGCCAAATGTTTGTGTTTTGAGCTTGGAATGGTTAATGGTTCATTTTGATTTGGTGGATGCATAATAATAATAATAATAATAATAATGCTATTGTTTTGTCGTACATATTTTCTTGCCTTGACTTTGTTGTGTTGTCGTCGAGTATTCTTTTGAAAACTTGGTTTTCATAAATTTTCTGTGAATTAATATAATTTTTGGAAGAGTATCTACAACATTCTCTATATTTTTAAAAAGTATATTAAGTAAAGCGTCTACAGATTTAGGGAGAATTTTTTTTTTTTAATTAATAGATGCTTTTATCTTTAACACTTAATTTTACTACTCCTATAAAATATTTATTTTTTACCTATCTTTTATTTTCACTAGCTTCACACCAAATTATTAAATTATTTTCCTTTGAAACATAATTTCAAGAATTGACTTTTTAAAATAGAGAGGATCTTATGTTTAAAAAGTCTTTTCGAGATGCTCTAATATTGTAGTTCTTTGTAACACAGAAACAAATTGAGCAAACTGGGAAAACTATATGATCTCCTACTTTTATCCAAGGAATCTTGAAATTGAGCAAATATTGGATATTTGTGTCAAAAAAAGAGTGATTATGCATTGCTTGCTACCAGCTAAACAAACCCATTCTATACATGATCTGGATTGTTTCTATTCTGGATTCTATGTTTCCCTTTTCCCTTTTGGTTTAGTTTGAAAGATGGCTCATTTATTTCAAAAACTTGTTATATTTTTGAATTTGGGGCCTTGAACTGAATGTGAAGCATTTAATGGAAACTGAATGAATTAATGGATTTAGGCTGCGTGGCTGGAACAGCGTGGAAATGATACCACTTGCTTCCTTGTCTGTTTCATTTAGCAATGACAACCTCAAAGAATTGTTGACATTAACTACTGGGATTCTGAGAACCCCATTACCCATTAAATGATAATAAAGCACCTTGAACGACATTTCCACTTGGACCTTTGAGGATCCAGCAACTGAAGGCCATCATGGCACTCTTCTCAACAGTCAAATGCAAAGGCAAAGGATCATACTTAAAGATCCAATAACTATTTTGCCTGCAAAAATTAAGTTTCAAAACTTAGAACCAGATTAGTTTTTTCATAGAAAAGACGACGAGGAAAAGTCCAAAAAAAGGGAAATTTGAAAGAAGAAGAAGAAGAAGAAGATAACATCTCCTGGTGAAGTCGTGAGTAATCTTTTGTTACCTGCCAGTGCTTCAGAACCAACTAGTAGTTTCAGCTCCTTGTCTTTCACATGATGAGGGAATGTGAAACTGTGGGACTCTGGATCATTTTAAATTGCTCATGTAGCTTACTTTATAAATTATGCCATATTTGCTTTTAAACCAATTGTTAAAGCTAGCAAACGAGCTGGAGCTGGACAAGCTGGAATTGGAGCTAACACATGAGCTAGAGCTGGAGCCAGGCCAATCACCTACACATGGTCTTGACAGTTAGTTTGTTATATCAGTGAGTTGTAAAATTAGTTAGTTGATGTATGGCCAGCTGGCCTAACGGAATCCGTACTTGTACAGTAATAAAATAGCTGTATATACTATTTGTAGCCGAGAGAATGAATAGAAATAAGTTCTTCACAATTCCTTCTACCTTTTAATATGGTATCAGAGCAAAGATAATTCCTCATACTAATTCTTCTCTCAATTTTTTTTTCTTTTTTTATTAATCAATTGTTGATTCTGGCAACTGATTTCAGATGGAGCCACAGCAATCAAAAGATTCAAGAACATCAATGAACAAGTTATCAGTTGATGATATTTCAAGTCCATGCTTTTGCATCATTCTGATAGTCCAGGAATGATTTTGGTATCGCAGCAGCTCACCAAAGATAACTATGCCTCTTAGAGTTGTGCAATGACAATTGCATTGTATGTGAAAAATAAACTCGGATTCATTGATGGATCTATATCTGAACTGATGTACGAATTTTGAATTGCTCAAGTCATGGATTTGAGGAAAGGTTTCAACAGAATGGACCACGCATCTTTCAATTGAGAAGAGATTTGATGAATCTAATTCAAGATCAAGATAGTGTAATTGTGTATTTCACTAAACTCAAAACCATTTGGGAGAAACTGAGCAATTATCGACCTACATGCAATTGTGGAAAATGTACCTGTGGTGAAGTGAAGGAATTGAACAAACACTATCAGATCGAGTACACTATCTTTTCTGATGGAGATACATGTCTATATTGTCTTCTCATTCGGCTTTAAACTCTTTCGCAACAACATTTGATCATCAAGACAACAATGACATCTCATATGCAGCAGGTATATGTTATTCCATATCAGTTAATCCTATGTTCTTATCCAAGAACATCTGGATAGTGGATTCCGGTGCAACCAAGCGTGTATGTTCAATTGCTTCTGCCTTGCCAATCAGGATACTGGATAATTCTATTGTTACTCTGCCAAATAACACACAAATATACTTTAAATTATGTTGTGAAGTCAGATTAAGTCATGATCTTATACTTCATGATATACTATTTGTGCTCAATTAAAGTTTAACATGTTATCTGTTAGTGCTCTAATAGTTGGATCCCATCTAACCGTTGGTTTCTTTCATGATCATTTCATCATCCAGAATGCCAAAATCAAGAAGATGATTGGCAAGGGCGATAGGTTGCAGGACTTGTACGTCCTTGACACCAAAGATCTAAATTCAACTTCATATACTGATTCTATTCCTAAGGCCTTTGTAAACAATGTGTCTATCCAAGTATGTCACAATAGGCTAGATCATCTCTCATTTAGAAAGTTAGAATGTTTGAAAAATGAAATTTCCTGTGATACTTTGAATTTCAATAAATGTTCTTGTTATATATGCCTTTTTACTAAACAAAGGAGACTGTATTCGGATTCAAACAACCATTTCTCAAGAAATCCTTTTGAT